GTGGTGTCAATGCATTACTGAGGCCCTGTGAGCAAGAGGCAGGAAGCAGCACCTGCCAGAGGCTCTGCCTGGAGCCACCCTGGAGGGAGGCTGCAGAACTGCTGTGACTAAGCGGAAGCCTAGAAGCTTGAGACCTGCAGTCCGCCTTCTCCTACCCATACGCAAATGCCCACTAGGTTAGGTCTCATCTCTAAAGCTATCCCCCGGCCCCTGTTTGGAAGTAACCACCACTGCCCGCAGACAAGGAGTTCACACACTGCTGCTGCGGGATCAGTGGGCACGCGTGTCCCCCTGCCTGACCTGCTGTCATGACCTTCTTGTCCTGAGCTAGCAAGTACACGGCAGTCCTCCTCCTCCTCCTTCCCCACAGTTACACCCATCTTCTCAGTACCCACCTCTCCATCCCCCCTCTCACCCTGCAGGCAAATGACTTCTCACACCCTCATTTTTCAAAAAATTGATGCTTACTTAACACAGACTACCATGCGCAGATCTTAAGGGTATAGCTGGATGAGTTTTGACCCATGTAGTCCACACCCCAATAAGACCTATTTTTTCCTTTTGCTTTTTGCCCCTGGTGGGTTACTTTGCAGCCTATTGATCAAGAGGAGGGTGGATTCTGGGAGGCAGGAGGAAGCACACAGAGGAAGCACAGAAACATTTGGAGCTTATATCTGGGGATGGGAGGAATGGAGCAAAGTCCAGCCAGGCTGAATGCAGCTTTTCTCCCCTTCCAACCCTGGAAGCAAGAAGGCAAACCCCAGACCCGGCAAAGGCCCCTCGTGGGGTGGGGTCCAGGAGGTGAGCAGAGGAGACCACCAGGGCTCTGTTTGGGCCTTCCCACCTGGCTGGCCAAGGGGCCTGCTCTGCTCATTATAACAACGCAGGGAGGATGAATGACATTTAGATTTCACCAAAGCTAAGTGTCCTGGCGCCCAGAGGAATTTGCCTTCTCTGCACAGCCCAAAGAACCCAGATGAGGCTAATGTACTTCTGGTTCCTGTGTCCTTCCTTTCCCAGTGGAGGGCTGTCAAAATTAGTAAAGTGAGGCTCCTTGCAGACACCACTCCCTAGGTCTTGTTCCCTGCCCGAGAGGCCACAGAAGGACAGGGCTCCTGTGGCTGACCAAGAGCAGCCCTGACTTACTAGATGCCGCAAGGAGAACTCCACCCCCAGGAGCCCAGGAGATATCAGCAAGTTTGCTGGTCACCAGCCTTGCTCCCCTCCCCACACTCATCTTCCACTCTGGAGCCCCACTGCAGTATAAGCCCATTAAGGATTCTCTGCTGATGCTTTCCTGGGTAACTGCCACATACTTGGTGCTCAAGAAATGCTTGTTGCATGAATAAATTAATGAAGCCTGGCAACCAGCTGGATAAACATTTTTCCTTCTGGTTATGTCTTATCCTGTGTGCAAGGCTCTGAGTACATTATGGTCCTCTCTTAGCCAGATGACAAGGTGGGTCACATCACATCTTTCAGCACCAAGAAAGGAGACAAAATAAAGGAGAGGGCAGAGGTGATGGAAGGGAGGGTGGGCAGGATTTAGAACACCAACTTTCTAGTCCAGGAGTGAAGCCAAGCATAACGTCAGGGTTAGAACTTGGAAGAGCAAAGCCAAGAATACAAAGACCGAAGTGTGGAATCTAAGGATGCCTCAAGAGGCAGAAATCCCCAAGGGCAAAGAGGAGGTAACAGGCGGAAGAGGCACAGGGGCTAGGACTGGAGCAAGACCCACCAGGCATGATTCTGGGGGAGCCTGTCCTCAGCCTAGGCTTCCTCTCCAGGTGCTACCCTGCCTCCACCCACCTTGCTCCAAAGCCCAACAGTACCTATAACGAAGGCATCACGCTCCACCTTGATAATGGGTTTGATGTTCATGAAAACAATCTTTTCAACACTTTCCTGGTCCAGACAAATGGACGGGCTCAGTGCACATACTGTTAAAGCAGGTCCCCATTCCCATTAGAGTGAGACTAACTGACCCCTCAAGGCAGTAAAGCACAGTGGGGGTTACAAGCACAGATTCTACTGCCAGACTGCTTGGATGCAAACCTCAGTTCTGCCTCCAATGATCTTGGGCACATTATAAAATCTCTGTGCCTCAGTTTCCTCTCTGTAAAATGAAGACTAATAATAATACTGTGAAATAATAAGAAATATATGTAGGTCAGTCTCCAGTCCTGGTTTCTGCTAAATATTTGGCCTTTGACCCCCATTCCTGACACAGACATCCTAAAACCTTTGTAATTTCCTGAAGGAAGGGAGCGTCTGACCCAGAGCTCCTAGGTTCCTTCGGATTTCCTGGGTAACAGCAGCATCTTTTGATCTAATGAGGTGTTGAGAGCTGGTTACCAGAAAAACCAAGCCATGATTAGAAGCTTGGAACTTTCAGCTGTACTCCCCATCTTCTGGAGAGAGGAGAAGGCCTGGAAATGACTTAATGATCAATCACACCTACATGATGAAGCTTCCGTAAAAATCCCTAAAGCATGTGGTTCAAAGAGCTTCCTCTGAAAATACTCTTCCTTCAGAGCATGCTTGGAGGAAGCCCTGTCCTTCTGAGAAAGCCTACAAGGCCTCTGTACCCTCCACCCTCCAACTTCCTATTTCTCTCCCACTGAAGTAGGGAGGGACAGTGACAGGGCACCACTCCCAGTGAAGGGTGAAGAGGCCCAGCACTGGTGGGCTCTCAGCAAGCCTTGTGCAGTCAGAGCAAACCCACCTGTAGGCTACCAACAGAGGCCAGGATTTGGCAACTGGACACATGGGTTTGATCTCATGGCTACTTATCCAACTGTATGACCTCAGGCATAACACTTACTCCTGCTCCTCAGTTTCCATGACTCTGAATGGAAAGAATGGCCAGGTCCTTTCCTACCTTCACTGCAGGTTGGTGTGGTCCCAACATCAAAAACCAGGGTAAACAGCACTCATTGTTATAGCCATGTGACAGGCTAAGAGCCACCCTCCCCTTGGCATCCTTCTTACTTCCCCTTTAATTTGGAATGAACATGCAGCAAGTTGGGCCTGTGTTTTGTACCAGTTCTGGTCACAAAGTCTGCAGCTCCTGTACTGGCCAAGGTCATGGACAAGGTCACGGCAGGAGTTGTGGGGACCCAACTCCTCTAAGGACCCTTTCTCCAGAGCCCTTAGGTTCTGCTCACATCAGATCTACTTCTCCCCCAGCCCAATCATAGTCTCTGTAGCTCTCTCAGAGGGCTGAGACCCTGTGGTTTAGTTGAAGTTACCGTCAGGACCTTCCCAGAATCCAGCTTTATCTCAGCACCTGTCCCACTGCTACCACCTCTCACCTGCATATGCAAAAGCCTCCTAACTGGTCTCTGCTTCCACCCAGGACTCTTCAGTTTATTCTCAATACAGCAACTAGAGGGGCCTTTGAAAATGACAATCAGAACATTTTAATAATCTGCTCAAGCTCTTCTCATAGATCACCACCTCATGGAGTAAAAACCACACACCTTGCAGCAGTTGACAAAGCCCTTCTTCAATTCTCAGCCTCAGCTACACAGTGGAATCACCTGAGTGTTAAATAATATGAACACTGAGTGCACCCTCCAGAAACTCTTTTCTAATTGGTCTTGGGTGGGGCCCTGGCATCAGGATTATTTTAAAGTGCCATGCTGAGTCAAATGCACAGCCAAGTTTGAGAATCACTGACTTGCTTAATCAGCTTCTCATTGCCCCTCTGACCTCACCTCCAACTACTGCCTTCTTGCTTGTTCTGTTCTAGCCACAGGGGCTCCCTTCCTCAAACACGCCAACCACACTTCTACCTTAGGACCTTTGCACCTGCTGGTCCCTCTGCCTAGAAAGTTTTCCCCTAGGTATTCACATGGCTTGCTTCCTCTCATCTCCACTGAATCTTTGTTCAAATATCACCTTCTTAATAAGGCCACCTCTGACCACCTTGTTAAAAATGCAACCCCCCCTCCTGTTCCAGGCAGTCCCTATCTCCCTCTCTCACTTTATAATTCTCCACAGCATTTGCCAGCATCTAAGGGGCTATATATTTGACACCCTTTTTTATTATCTATTTCTGTACCTAGAATGCAAGCTTTGTGAGGGCAAGGATTCCTGTCTGTTTTGTTCACTACTTTCTATACCTAGACTGCACCTGCACATAATAGAGGTTCAATAACTACCCTTAAATAAGTATATACTCTTCTCTCCCCTTGTAGATCCTCAGCTGCTCTTTACTCTCTAGAGCCCCACCAGGTTTTCCCTGGGCCAGGAAAAGACCATACCCAATTAAAGCGCAAACAGCAGGTGCTCAATAAATGTCTATGAAACTGAACTGAACTCTCCTCCCTAAAGGAACATGGCTTCCAAACCCAGCAGCAAGATCTTCCCTGGAAACTCCAGATATAAACTCGGTATGGTTTGCAGCTTTAAGAAAATGGTAAAATAAGGAGAAAGGGGAAAATGAGGTGTGGGGGAGCTCACAAAAGTTAATGAGATTTTTCTCAGCTGTGGTACGTGCCCACATTTTTAATAATTAGGAGGAATAAAAATTGTAACCGAACCTTAAAGGAGCATCTTATGTAACAAAGAGAAGTCAAGACAGACTTCTCTGTCGGGTGTAATGACTTGTTAGCCCTGGAAGATGGATGTACTTTAAAATACTAATTTACAGAAAAAAAATTGTTCATAAAAATGCAACTAATTGGGTTAAAATGACTTATTAACAGGAATGCCAGATGATTCTAGTGCCCTTAAGGAGTAAATTAGGTTATTAATCTTCAAAATCTCTAATTGAAGAAAGCCTTCCTCCTGCTTAGCAGACAGAGAAACAGAGGCTGAGGGAGGGGCAGGGGCAGAGTTGCCCAGTGCAGGAGGAGGGCACAGACCCTGGCAGGAGGGGGAAGGGATCCAGAAGTCCAGATGCCCAGTCCCAACTCCATCCTCAGCACAGTGGTGATCCCATCTTCCCCCAGGCAGGTCAGGTCAACAAGGGCCCAGTCCCAGACTCTGCTCACCCACTGGGTCTGAGGTCAGGCAGGGGCCGGTCAAGGGGCAGGCGGTCACTGAGGTAGGCGTTGTAGCCGTAGTACTGGAACTGCTTCAGGGCCATGCGCCGGCCTTCAGGGCTGAGCTCCTGGCCCCAGTGTGCAAACAGAGAGGAGTCTGTGAAGGGCTCAGCCTCTGCCTCCTCAGGCTTGGCAGGAGCCTCTGGAGAAAGAAGGGACAAGGAGACAGCAGGTCAAGGTATACCCCTGCATATGCCGTGACAACCCCTTTCCCTCCCTCACCATTCCCTTGGGTAAAATAATATTACCCTCATCTTTAGGGACAAGGGGAGGGCAGAGGGGAATCTTCATGCTTCCTCAAATGTATTTATCTATTCATACCTCCATTCATCCACCAACAACCACTAGGCACAGGGGATGTAGAAATAAACCTGAAAAGGTCTGTCAAGAAGCTGATGTATGTGACCTTGATGCCCCATGGCTTCAAGTCTGAACTCTTTTCTTTCCTTCCAGGGATTCTAGCCCCAGTCCTCAAACTGGACTTTGGCTTCTCTTTCCCCAGAATGCACCCCTACTCCCTGCCAGTCCTGAGCCCACCCCACACCAGGTCCCCCAGACGGGGGCCTGCTCCTCTGCCTGGTTCTTGCCAGCCCATCTCCTTCTCCACTGTCTGGTCCTGCCCTGGGTTGCCTGGACTCACCACGTGACATTCACTGGCTACGAGAACCCCCAGCCAGACTGTCCCCTACTGCTTCCAGACTGCCCACCAGAATAGGAATCATGGCACAGGGGCCAGCCAAACCATCCCTAGCCCCCATGTGCTCTGGGCACTGCCCACTGGACCCCTGGCAGACTGTGTAGGGGCAGCCCCATACCAGCTCAAGAAGAGCTCATGGTTTTCCTGGAATTTTCCAAGACAATGGAGGGGACATTATTACCTGTTTGAGCAGACGGTTTAGATTCACACAGACATGGATTCAAATAAATACCTGCCACACCATTCCTTGGCTACATGACCACAAGCAAAGATTTAATCTCTCTATGCCTCAATTTCCCCACCTTTAATGAGGGGTAACAATGACCCTCTGCCTACCCCTGGAATCTCTGAGGATTACATAAAATAATGTACATAAAGCATACAGACCAGCATATTTCTCAGAATAAGTACACAATAAATGGTAACTAGGGTTTATTCCCTTCCTAACAAGGGAAGCCTAGCAGATCATTTAAATCTCTTTTACAGGGGCAACAGGTAGGTCCTGCCAGGATGTAGGCTGATGGGTCAGGACTTTGAAATTCCTTTCCAAAGACAGACAGCCAAGTAAATCATTAGACACCAGAAATCAGAGAAACTGGACAGAGATGCTAAGCCTAAGCCTACTGGATGGCGCATTCCACACTCATAAACATTAAGTAAGAGAGGGAGCCAGGAGCCTGGAATGTGACAGAGACCAGGAGGAAAGAGAAGCAGATTAGGGGCAGGAGAGGCAGGCAGGGGACACTCGCCAATGTCCCCTCAGCTGTCCGTGTAGAGCCAGTGTGTGGATGGCACACCTGGGCTAGGTAACTTATAGGTACAGGCTAGAGTCAGGAACAGGGCTAATTTCCAGGGTCTTCAGGGTTGGGGAGCTCAGAGCTACAGACCAGAGCTCCAACTATCATTCCACTTGGAGAACTCTTCTAAGAGCCAGTCTGGGAGAGGGGAGGCCTTCCAATACCCAGGACCCTCCTTAGCAAAGAAGAGGTACTCCCAGGGAAGAAGCCCCCATCCCATCACATGGTGCACCAAGGCTGTCATGAGAAGATGACTTTCATAGCTGCCTGCAAATGAGAGAACCCCTGCTTCTGAAAGCAGAGTGAGCTTGCTTTTGCCAGATACCTTAGTAAGGGAGATGCCAAAGATGTGTCAGTGGAGTTGGGACTCCCAGGGGCTGCTGCACGTGCACAAGGCACCTCTCCTCTCCCAACCATGTCCTTGGGACATACCCCAAACTGCAGAATGATGTAGTTCTCAGGATAGCTAACACCGGCTGGGTGATCACAGTGAGTTGGGCTCTGCTGTACACATTTTTCCCCCATCAACTCATCTTACCCTGTGAGGTGGGAACTGGTATCGGCCCCATGTTACAGGTAATGATGTTGAGAGGACAAGAAACTTCCCCTGCTAGCTCAGAAGGAACCGTGGTAGCTGAGATTTGATCTTGAGAAGTCTGTCTCCCAAGGCAGTGGTCCTACCCACTATGCTACCTGGTAATGGGCTGGGTTACACATCAAATCCAAAGACACACATGGCAAATCATCATGGTTACCAATTTTCCATAGAGACACAGAAGGCAACTCAGGTATAGTAAACAGATTAGGGCATATTAAGGGGTAAGGTGCGAACTATGCATGTACTTCTATGACAAACCAAGGGTCTTTAGTTCTGTGGTGGTTGCTCAAAGCACCATCCCAGGACTCAGGGTGCACTGTTGTCCCCCACTAGCCATATCTGAAGGGAAGCCAGGGCTTGCATGATCTTGAAGGTCCTTGTTATCTCTAAAAGATGTATGACTCATTCTTTGGAATAGGGGATAGTAAAAATCTAAATCAGTTAATCAACTGAATCATATCATATTTAGCAGAAATGGAGTTTTACTGCTCTCACATACCTAAATGGATATGATCAAGTGAAATTAGATCAGTTAATGAAAAAATTATGATTCACAATTAGGCCTGTGTTGCAGAAAAGTGTATTACAAACATTTTACAGTCCTGGGTTCCACTACATGCTCCTGCATTTTTACACAGCATGGCTACGGACCACAGTGAACTTGCAAGCAGTGAGTCCTGAATGGACTCCAATTCCCACCCAGAGCCAAGCACTGTGTGGGCTGATGTCTTTACCCGAGGTTGTCTCTGTCGGGCTCACGGGTGGAGACCCCAGGAGGGCAGGCGGACATCTGACCCTACTGCGCTCCCAGCATTCTGCTCCCACCTAGCAGTCTACTGTTCTTATGAGGGGTTCAATACATCATTTTAAAATAAATCAGTTAATAAGCACCCCATAGTGGTTAGTTATTAGACATGAAGAAACCAAAGATGAAAAGGTTAATGACTAATCCAAAGTGATCCAGTTTGTCAGGGGAACTGAAGAAAGGTCTGGCTTCCTCCAAACCCCATGTTCTTTCCTCCACATCACAAGGGCAGACTGTGGTCTGAGGGCCAAATCTGGCTCGCTACCAATTTCGTAAATAAAACTTTACTGGAACAGTCTCATCTATTTGCTTATGTATTACCCAGTGCTGCTTTATAGCTATGAAGGCAGAGTTGAGTAGGTGCAACAGAGACCTTGCAGAGCCTGCGAAGTCGAAAATACTTTCTGGCCCTTTAATAAGAAGTGTGCCTGCCCTGCCTTACATTTGACATCCAAAGGATTGGTTACCAGCACTGGCTGTTAGAGTCAGAATCCCGGGGTTTATATTAAAGATCTACCACTGAACATTTAGCTTATCTGCCCCTTCGTCCATCATTGGGAAAATGGAGCTGATAATAATCAGACCTTCTTCATAGAATATTTGTATGCATTCAATAAGATGGCCCACATATGGAACTTAGCATAGTGCCAGTCACATAATAGTTAGCTGCTAAGGACCCATGAAGCCCCACAGCCCCACCAGGCACTTTTCCACCAGTACCTCTTTAAGTTCAGATAGGGAGGATGAATGGCCCTGCTGGAGGCCCCCAGGTCTGAAGATGTTGCTTCTGTCTAGCTCCCAGATGGAAGGTCTCCACAGGCCCTGTGTGTGCTGTCTGGCAAGAGGGGCTTTCAGTGTTCCCACAGCCTGTTCTCCCCAGGACCCTGACAAGCACAAGGGCTGGGTGAGGGATGGGTGGAATGACAGCATCCAAACTCTGGCTCTGTTCTGAACCGGCTGAGTTCACTGAGTCCTGCTGGGTCTCACCATGAGTGCGCTCTCCCCTGGGAAGCTCTCAGGCCCCTGCAAATACAATTCTTTTGAGTCAGGCCCTCAGCTGGTCAGATGTGCCCAAGAAAGTCTGAACCCCCCGCAGGGGGCCACAACCCAAGTCTGCTCCTGGAGGCACCGTGTCCCTGGGTGAGAGACGTCCATGGGTCTGGCCCTTTTCCAGCGGGCCCACCCCAGCCACTTCCCTGAGGCCTCTTGCCTGCCACTCTAGAACGTCAAAAATGGTTCTCCTTTGCTCACAACCATGAGGTCTTCCAACAGCCATCTTGTCAATCATGCACACGTGTTCTATGGACTGTATTATCAACTCCATTTTCCAGATAAGAAACTGAGGTACAGAGAAGCTAGACTAAGGTAAATGGTAGCTCTGGAGTATAAACCCCAGGATCCTGGTAGAAAGCCCCCACCCCTCTCCCAGGGCTCCTTGGTAAACCTCATCTCCAAGGATTACCTGGCATCCCTCCTGAGCATCCAGAACAGGGCTGTGGACAGAGGAATTGCCCTGAAAATACAGGAGAGGGAAGATAAGGAAGGAGGCAGGGAGGGAGGGCTGTTTCTAGCCTCTCGGCCTTTCTCCTCTCTCCTGGAAGGACTCAGAATGGGAGGGAGCACATGAAGCCATCCAGCATCCCTCCTCCCAGGAACCCAGGTGCAAGGGCAATGAGGTGATTAGACCCCGAGGCTCCAGAGAACTGACCTATGATGCCTTCAGGGGGTGGCCAGCCCAAACCATGGATTCCCCAAGAGGCAGGCCACGTGTCCCTTCCTTCCCTAAAGCTCCAGCGTTGTGGCTGCCCAGCCTTCCCCCAGTTCAGCCTCCAAGGTGTGTGCTACAGAAATCCTTGCCAATAAACAGATGGAGGGTTCCCCTGAGAGGACATTAAGTGCCCCACCCTCTGAAGAGAAAAGGCACATTTGATAGGTCTGGGCATAGCACAGCCTGACACTAATAAGAAAAGAGGTTGTCATATTTCTTATCCCTGACATCTCTCAGAGAAACCCATCTTCCCTCTGTGGGTGCCCCATCTCTGAGGGGCCCAGGGCACAGCCATTCCTGCTCATTCCCAGAATTCCTTTCCAGGCCAGGTCCTGGGAGCTGCTACTATGCCAGCTAGATCCAGAGGAGCTCCCCATGGCTGAACTTCCCTCATTACTAGGCCTCGGGAGTCACTGTCAGCTCCCAAAGGGAGGTAACTCCTTTTATGGATAGGCAAATATTCAAGCAAGTTTATTC